TTTAGACCTTTTTCCTTTTTTGAACAAGTATTTGTTTATAACGACAAAAAAGAATCACATTCCATTTATTCACCTGGAAAACGTTCCTCAAATTTTCGAATAATTTTGTTCCAGTATAACATTACCTACAATAAGTTATATAGTCATTAACTTTTACGAGTTACAGTAAATAAATTTGTACTTGCCAACAAAAAAGAATTAAGCCACCAATATTCTCTAAAAATAACTAATTGCTTTATTAATATTAAATGAAAAATGGACTAAGGGTGTTTATAAAATGTAAACAAATATATTGTCAGTCCCCAAATGAACGCCAGTGACATTTCTGACAGGATTGACAGTTCAGTTTAGTTCCTTTTACGTCAAATCAGGCCCTTTCGATGGGTTTTTGATGGTTATCAGATCACGTGGGTTTCGGGTATTGTTGAAGACCTGGTATATGGACCCTTTATCGTTTTACTCATAGATATAGAGTTTCCATCCCGTACATCATTGTACGCCTTATTTCTTTAGGATTTATTACCTTTTATTTCAAACCAAATTCCTATTGTGTATCTTTTTATACACATTCTTCGTAATATATTTACTAATCTAGGATGAGATAGGTTATCAACTATTTCATACAGTCTTCTTCCTAACCCCTCTCCCCTATTGTCGTACTTATCTGTGCGACAATGTCAAGAGCCCTTATTTGTCTCTTTATTATTATTCTTAACTCAATCATTATATAAAAATATCATACATATGTCTCTACTAATACACTTCATTTTAAAACACATTACACATCATATATCTTTTCATTTTTCTCTCTATAAACATATTCTCTGTGTATTCACTTTTTCTCATACAGTTTACTTTTCTATTTCAGGGTGAGATGGGTTATCAACTGTTTCATTCAGTCTTCTTCCTAACCCCTCTCCCCACTGTCGTGCTTATTTTCGCGACAACCATATGTCGCGAGCCCTTATTTCTCTCTTTGTTATATATTCATAACAATCATTTTACAAAAATAATAAATAAGCTGTATTTTTCTCATAAAATTAAAAATAAACTAAATTTATAAGAAAGCACTCTGCAATTCAGCACTAGATCATAATCTGTAAAGTTTGCCTAACTCATTTTTTTATCATATACGCACGCCACCACAAGTGTGCCTCCTGCCTCCTCCTGTTTTCTTGTGTCTCTGCTTCCTGTTTGTGCAGCTATGTATTGCTTTATGAATAAATTAAAGAAACATCCCCGTATGATGTCCGTATGTAAACACGGAGGATTCCCAGGTCCATTTATTCCGCATCATGTGCAACATTGGTATAGTTTCGATAGTAATATCGATACTATCGATAGTAACTCTTGAGACTATCGGAAACTATCGATAGTATCCGACGTAACTCTTGAGACTATCGGAAACTATCGATAGTATCCGACCACTAGTAATACGAGGGGATGTCTATAATTTCAAATCAAGAATATAATTAATAAATGTGATTTTGAAATATCGAAAGAAAACTATATTCCTGTTAAAGACCGAGATTTCTCTGTCATTTGATTTAAGGTAATTTTATCTCTATACAGTGCCTTGTACTATCACTGGATAACAAATTTTCTTTATTTATCGAATTGAACATTTCATTTAATAGAGTGTGTTTGAATTTACCAACACTTCAGTGACATGTCCACGCATAATCTTTGAAATCATTCATTAGAATCAGTAGAATCGGGAATGGTAATATGTTTCACCTGCTGTTCAATGTTTTTTTTACACGGTCAGAGTGAGTGGCTACGCCATACTTTCTCTTACTTATACTTGACGAATTGATTCTTATAATGTTAATGATCCGTTCGTCCATTGAACCGCAACTTTAACGCAGAACCGTACTTTTTATTACCCATTTTCGAAATTTTATTGTAAATAATAACAGGATAGGATAATTTACTAAAACGTATGATTATTTATTATTAAGAGTGCAGATTGCTTATAAACTTTCATTTCTCTCCGCCTTATATACGAAGACCATTGTTAAAGTTCGAGAAAAACGTAATTAGGCATTCTAAACAAAATGACTGCCCGTGGCTAATGACAGGTTGTGAAATGACAACCATGGGACTGGTAATTTGATAGGGTCAATGATATAGATAGTTATATAGATTGATTATCCATATTTTTTAAAATAAACATAAGCTTATTGTAAAAATGTAGGTAATTTGTTTTTTTAGTTTTTTCAAAGACTGAAATTTGATGTTAAAACACATTTTTACTAAACCTATTCTGATTAAAGAGCACTTGCAAAACGACTCGCTTTGAGCAATCTGTATAACTGTTACGCGAAGCCGTCTTTGTTTTTTGTTTACTCCTTGCCCGCGGTATGAAGTGTAGCGCTGGCCATATAGAGACAAACGCACCGCTTCGAGAAGCTACCGTTTGAGTCATAAAGAAAGAATTCCCGAACGTTCTGGAAGGCCGAGAGTGTTTTCTTGTACAGAGCTGGCTTTATATAAATAGCGCGAGTTTGTCGACGGACAAAAAGTTTCAATTTAAGTGTTGGACAGTAAAGACAAATTTTAATAAATAAATTAGAATTGTGGGTTAGTGCCTAAGTATTATATAAATTAATTAGTACGTTATAATAAATAAAATGTTTTAAATAAATAAACTATAAATAAATTTAAAAAACGTTATATAATTTTAATATGAATCATTAATCCTGTCAAAAACAGCAGGCCCACAAGGTTGCCATATCATAATCTGTCATTATCCACGTGTAACATTTTGACAGGTCTTTAGAATGCTTAACACAAATTACGCTTTATTGCTTTGATATTAACTGATCAGTACCAAATCAATTATCAAATTAAAAAAATTATCCACACTGGTAATAATTTCAAAATTATAATTTTATTTTTTTTTAAGTTTTATTTTTTGTAAGTTTAATTTTTTATTATTTTGAGTTTAAGTTTTTATTTCTTTATTAAAAGTTTATTTTAATTTCTAAATTGCTAATTTTACTACTTCCACTTATACAGAATGTCACAGAAGATGATATCCATAATTCAGGGTTCAGGGGTGAATATATGAGATAAAAATAATATCGGTAATTCATATACATTTGTTTTTGAAGTCTTCATTACTAAGTTATTGGCCACTAATTTTGAGCAATAAAAATTATTTGTTTAAAACTTTTGAAGTCAATAATTTGAATTGCGAACTATATTTTGATAATTGAAGATGATGATCTTTAATTTGGCTTACCTTCTTGACATTCAGGAACAAGCGATTATTAGTAATATAGAAAATTGTGTAAATCTGATTGATTGGGATCAACTCATGTGGTAGCCTTTATAGGTAATTATGAACAATTTCACATTTATTGTTGGACTATTGATTTAATGGGTTAAATTTTTGGCAAATGCCACCGATTTTTTTAATTTAAAAGTAAGAGGTTTCATTTATACTTTTTTTATTAGTAATAAATGTTTGTAAGCCATCAGAAACATCAATTTTTCATATATGTAAAAAAACAGTACTCTCTCGAAATGAACACATTTAATTGAAAAGGGTGGTTTTGATATTGATAAGTTTATAAATATTACTGAACAAGATCTAAAAATAATTAAAAATACAACTCCAAAAATGAAGTTTTGATGATTTTCTGACGGATTCCATCCAACAACGTAGTAAAGAATTATCGTTGAACATACATAAAAAAGGCCCAATATTAATTTAAATTCATGTATAACTAATCGTCATTATAAAATAAACAAAACATAAATATAATGAAACAACAGAACTCCTTGAACAAAAAATATCCATTTGGTACTTCACTTAAGACCAATTATAAATGCAAATATAAACCATTAACTTTCTCAATTGAACCTGAACCTGATCTTGTTTTAAAAACATAAAAGAAATGCTACACCTTTCCTGTCGAGCGCAGACGGGACAAAACAAACAAAAACTTAAATCGTTACTTTCATTCGGAGCGAAAAATTGCAAGAGCAAAGGTCAACGGCATAATTCATGCAGCCATACGTGCAATTGACCTAGTCTAGAATGCTTTCACGTTAAAAATTATACATTTACCGTTTCATAATCTTATGCATTTCAGAAAACGTATATTAAACTATAGAGCGTGGCTTTAGAAAAACCTAATTGATTAATACACGGCGGTTCATATCCTTAACTGATAAATAAAGTGAATAATAAAAAATACAAGTAGAATTTTAATTTTATTGAAAAGTTCTCGCCATATGATAAACTTTTTTTATTATTAATAACAAGATACCAGGATATCCTGTAAAATACCCTCAAACTTTTAGGTATTATAGGAGACATGAAAATAACCATTTTTTGCTTGATAGACATATGTCCGATTATTTAACAAATTTTCAAATGTTCTCAAAAAAAAGTTATACACTTGACTCAGTCTCATTCTCAACCAAGTAAAAAAGTTATGCAAGACGCGCCAAAAAAACCAGAACAAAATCAAGGTAAATGCAAGAGGGTGAAACAAATTTAAGTTTCTGTACACAGTAGCAAGAAGAATAATGATACGGAGTGTATTTTTTGAATTCTTAAAGTCGAAACCTGGAGAAAGTTGGATAGCCTGCAACGTCTACCAAGGATGGGCTCATGAGAGGTGTAACGCTTGTGATACTGAGTCTAAAAACATGTTCGCTTGCGATTTTTGTTAATAAATATCTTTTTCAGTTTTTCTAATGCCATTTTAGTCCCATTTCCTAATCAAAATGGGTTAAGAAAGTGCAGTTTTGTATTATAACCGTAGAAAAAATATAAAAGTAAATAAAATTTCTCGATATCGCGTAGCTTTCAAACGACCTTGCTTTATCATTATCAATATTTGAAAAAGTTTTTCCATCCAAAATGTTTATACTTTATCTTTGTGGAATTCTAAAATTAAACTTATATTGTACCCAATAGTACCTATTGCATATAAACTAACAGTTCTCGGTGTATCAGTGTTTAAAATATTGTTTTGTTTCAGAACGAACTGGAAGCAATCAAACAAAAACTGGAGAAGCTTGAAAGTGAGAGAACCAAGTTGAAACATGACAATGATAAATTGGAAGCTAAGGTAAATACATTTATTTTCTTTTTTTATAAAACAAATTATTCATCAACAATTTATTTAGGTACGAACTCGGTTTTAATAAAAAAAATAATAATAGTTATTCATTTTTATTAATTTTATTAGATAGGATAGGATGGATATACAGGGTGGTCCACCGGTAATGCCTCGGTCTGTATATCCAAAACTAAACTTTTTTTAAAAAATCGGTTTTCACGGTGGGATGTATATTAGAAAAGGCAACAATTTAAAAATAATTTCAATAATACAGGGTGCTTCAGGAAATTGGAATATATCAAAGTTAGAAATATATCAAAAATGATAGACTCTAGGTATAACAACCCTTTAACAAAGTTACACTAATTTTCTTTATAGATTTCAAAAATGCAATAAAATATAGGGTGTCCCGATTAAAAAAAAACCTAACTTTGATATATTCCAATTTTCTGGAGCACCCTGTATTATTGAAATTATTTTTAAATTGTTGCCTTTTCTGATATACATCTCACCGTAAAAACCGATTTTTAAAAAAAGTTTAGTTTTGGATATACAGACCGAGGCGTTACCGGTGGACCACCCTGTATAATGAACAAAATAAAGACGCTCTTGACAGTTCAAAGTTCAGGTTTTAAATAATTCATAACATTCTTAGAACAAAGATATTGAGGTCTACAGGGTTATATATTAATAATAAATATTACACATCTCTGAAAACAAATGTTAATATTTTAATGAACGCACTGTATAAAGTTATTAATTATTATATTGTATCATTAATTATTAAAATATTTTTTACGCATTTAAATGACGTACAAATTGACAATTTTTGAGAACTTTAATAATTCCCGTAAAGAGGTACTAAAATAAAGTGTACAACATTTTTGAACTTCCATTTTCATAAATTAGAGAGATAATGCCATATAATGAAAATTTGAAAAAAAAACTTCTGTTTTTAACTCGAAAACAAAAATAGCCAATTTTTAAAAATGCTATTAAGTTTTTCTCAAAAAAAAAAGATCAAGGATGAGAGGTTCATTTTTCCATACCGTTTACAGTTAACGAGACTCTTTATTAAAACATCGAAATTTGCTCACCCTGTACAGTAAAAATTGATGCTAAAAGTTTATTTTGGTGCCAATAAATATTGTGAATATCTCAAGTTAACCTTCGGCATCGGAACTACTACGAAATCGAACGATTTAATTCATACCGTAAAAATTGATAAGCGAAACACGTTTCTCATTCATTCAATCGGATTTCGGCCTCTAAATTCCAACCTCGATCCAAAGTTAACGCGAAAAATTCCATGTTACAAATCTCTTTCCAAAATTTCTAGGCGCCTATAATAGCGCGCCGCGAGTTACATTTTGGGCGTCCTACCCCAAGGAACTGGCACACATCCGAAATTGCTTGCATCAATGTCTATAAACAAAACTTTTATTGGATTGATTAATTATAACTTTATTTTTTTACTTTGGCATCGAATATTAGATAATTTGTTGAGGTAATTGTTGATTGTTAAAATTTATATAATTTGTTGGTAAATTTGCTCGAAAGAGATGTTAATTATACTTTGTAAAGTTTATAGTATTTATTTTACGGAATACTACTTTTACTCTATAATATAATTGAGTTTAATTTAGTTGTAGTACGAGGACTACGAGGGTATATCGGTATCTAGATAGTCTGGCAAAGTTCAATAGTAAACATTTTTTTTGTGATATTGTTAGAGCTCGATTTTTTTGTGAAGAGCACATTTCGTCATAGCTATGCCACAGTTCGCGCAGTACGTCATAACTTTGTGGAGCTTTAAGGTGCATTTAGTCAGCCTGATTTTGTTTTAAGCACTAACATAGAGATTAACATAAACATTAATTTAAGGATTTTAAAACAAAACCGTTTATACAGAAAATTTAAGCATCAACATAAGATTTGACGAATCATACAAAATGGAAAAAAGGCGTATGGCAGCTGCTTCTGAAATTGCTCTGCTAACTATCTTACAATTACTATTAATAAAAGTACAGAAAAAGAGTTTAGAAGTTCAAAAGTTTAAAGTTAGGAAAATAGCTTAACCTCACTTTTTGAACGCACATGCGCAATTGTATTTTCGACATTAATTTAAGCATTAAGTTGGATTTTATTTATCTTCACTAAGTTTATGTTAATGTTTATGCTTATGTTATTCTGTATAAACAGATACATTGAAATGTATTGAAATTAACTTGTATGTTAATGTCTATGTTAATGCTTAATACTAAATCAGGCTGACTAAACGCACCTTTACTTGATGGCGCTGGGCTGAAATCTGCTGCGGTAGGGGTACCTGATATCTTAGTAGTAGCGTGTGTACATTGATAAAATATATTTTAAATCGAACATATTAATAAGTTAATGTTACATTTTAACTATTCGTTAGTTAAATTGCTGATGAACTTTAAATTAATAAAACAACTGAAAGTTTAAATAAATAATATATTTTAATTTAATTTGTATAATTTTAAACATTTTCATCATCTTCATCATCTTCCAAGTCGGAAATATCGGATTCCCACTCATCGGATGACTCCGTGTTTACACTAAATATGAGGGAATCTGTAAATTCATCCATAAGGTGTTCTCTTTGAATATATGCATCCTCATATTTCGCGGAATGGTCCACCACGTTTGCCCATTCCTCCGGCGGTATGCTTCGGAATTTTTCTTTTGCCAACTTTTCAACATTATCCAACTTGAACGTTGTGTTATGTTGACCCACCTAATTTTTTACTCTGGTCCATATTTTTTCTATGGGATTTAATTCGGGATGATATGGACAGATCTGTTGTCTTCATTTTTTTTCCACCTAAACATTGTAATTTTATACGTACAAAAATTGACTATGAGAAATTACTTATTTTGGTATCATTTTATTTTGATTTTTTAAGATAACTTTTTTTATAGTTACTTAAAACCCATGTTTAATAATATTTTCCTAAGTAATGAGATGCTACCCCGGAATTCAAAACAACACTCTTTCATTTTTTGTAATATACCAAAATAATATTTATATTAAATACGTTGCCATTATAATCAAAATAGTAACTTACAATTTAGAGTTGGTAGTCTTTTCTCAATAATATGAAAATCATGGATTATATTTTTGAGTTTTTCCAACTCTTCAGGCCTTATAGATTCTCCAACTGTACTTCTTTTTGTATATCCTCTTTGTGAAAATGAAGTACTAACTCCACTTTCTTCTTCACCAGCCATCTTCTTAATTCTAGAATAACTGCTTCTAGAAATCCCTGTAGCAGCTAAAATTCTCTCTCTGTATTTGTGTAATGGTATTTGAATACCGTTTTCAGCCTCGTTTTTCATAAAATTTATGAGGCGTGAAATTATTTTTTTCGTTTGACTTTGAAGAATTTGACCCTTTTTGCCTAATAATTTTTTCTGTTCCATTTTGAACGAGCTAAAAATATAGATATTTGTAGGAAATTTGTTTTAAATAATATTAAACTTATTTTTCTATTCATCAAGAGCAAACCGAACCTCTAGCCAAGGAAAATTTTTGAAATAGTAATACAAATTAAAGTTACTTAAGAGCTAGTGCTTCGGTAATAAGATAAAATTTGTAGGTTTTATATATTTTATCACAAAGTTCTTAATATTTAAGGTATTTACGTGTTATTTTTTTTGTTGCTATATAGTAACTTAAACTACAGTTCTGTAGTATGAAATCAACAAAAAAGTAATACCACAACGCAGAAAAAAAATAAATATTTTTCAGAGTATGATCACTGTTTTAAGGATTCCGCTTTTATTTTTTATTCGATTAGAATTTTCTTTTAAGAATTCTCTAGAGAAATCTTTCCTTTACAATTTGTATTGAAAAAAAATTTTTTTTTGTTTTATCTGAGTGTTTAATTTTAGTTTCAGTTTTTTCACCAAGAAATAATAATATGTTCACCGAACCCTTAAAACAGTGATCATACTAAGACTTTTTTTAATTTTTTTTTTCTGCGTTGTGGTGGTACTTTTTTGTTGATTGCATACTACAGAACTGCAGTTTAAGTTACTATATAGCAACAAAAAAAATATCACGTACAATACCTTAAATATTAAGAACTTGGTGATAAAATATATAAAACCTACAAATTTTATCTCATTACAGCAGCAATAGCTCTTAAGAAAAATATGGTTTACAAAAAAACTGGTTTTAAAAGGTATTTAAAATATTTCAGGATGTTCGGTTTCTTCTGAGATTAATATTTATAGTTTTGTAAATGTACTTACCAAAATATACACAAAATTAATTAGGAATTCAAAAAATATAACAAATTAAAGTTTATATACACACAAATCGAAGCATAAAAACTCAGGAAACTCAAAAATCGAAGCACAAAATTCAAGAAACTCAAAATAGCTAAATAAATGCAACAAGTACAAATAAGTAACACTACGCTACTGAATTCAACTTGTATGAGCGGTGATGAGCGGCAGGCGGCTTCGATAACGTTTAAATCTGTCTGACCACGCCTACAAACTCAAATTGGTTTCTGCACATTATGACGAAGTGTGCTCTTCACAAATAATTTAATTCTAAATATTTCATGAACTAATTACTTATCTAAGAAGGCTTAACACATAGACTGAAATGAGAGAGTTGTCAGAATCTAGTCTTTTAGCAACATCTTTAAGATGGCTCATTCTCTATTCCAAAATTATTAACGTACATATTAAAAAGTTTGGCTACCCCTGAATTGAAATGTACACTAAATTTTTAACTAATTTTAATTTAATTGCTTCGTGATCTAACCTCTAAATAAGTGTATAAGGAACTGATTCAGTTATTTGTACTGTTTGAAGTGTACACCTTCTATATTTATATTCTTGTTTTTTATTCTTTGCCAATCAAGAACATACCATTCTAAAACAAAAGTACGTTTGCGAACTAATCTCAAAACCACAAATGCCAAAGTGAATCAAAACTCGAAACAACACATTTTACAATACTATACTTA